TCCAGTGTTTTCCAAACTCCAACCCTTGGCACACCCCTTCCCAAGCCAGCAGTCTACCTGTACTAGTACATATTTGTATTTTTATTCAAGTTGGCCGGCTTTGAGAGTACAAAGAAATTTACTTATAAAAGGTAACTTTCTATCACCACCATCTGCAGAGAGCCTGATCAATTCTTCCTTGACCGGAAGGAAGTGGGAGTAAATTTAAACACAAGGAAAACAGAACAAAGTGAGGACCTCTCAGCTGGGTGCTGATACCAGCCAGAAGCCTTGTAGAAAGCACTCTCTTTGTTATAAAGGGAGATGGAAGGGCTGGCCGAGTGGCTCAGTTGGTTAAGAGCTCGCTCAAGAGTGTGAGCTCTGAGCAACAGCGGTTCGATTCCCAGCCCGAGCTGAGCTGCTGCTGAGCTGCCAACAGGTGGCAGGATGGCTCAGCTAAAAAAATAAATAAATAAATAAATAAATAAGATAAAAAATAAAGGGAGACGGAGGATGGAGCCTTAGGGACCGATGCCACCACCTGAGAAGTTCGCCTTGCCATAAACAGACGGACAACAGACAGAGTTACAAGAACAGCTCCTGGATGGCAGGTTTTGTTGCTGGTTCTGTGCACACACTCAGTCACCTTGAGGACCAGCAGGGACGGGCTCCCTATACTTTGGGGGACACTGCTCACTCCACAGTGATCTGTTCTCAAGTAAAAACACCACCCTGTTACACTTCCGCACCCCGCAGCCCATAGCAGGGAATCCAAACTCAGTATAGCTCACCCCATCTGCAGGACAGACCCTTGCTACCCTGAACTTGACCCTTAAACTCCAGGAACACAGAACTTCTTGCCTTTCTCCAAGGGTGCCAGGCCCCTCCCCACCTCCAGGGCTTTGCACACACATGGTCCCTCCACTTGGCATACCCTGGCCAACTCCCTACACACCACCACCTTTCTCTGCCAGAAAATGCCGCCTCTTTGCTCTAGAAGGATTTCTCAGGCTCTTATCAAGTCATTCTCAGCAGATGCCAGCTGGATGCCAGCTCCCACTCCTAGAAAGATCCAGGTGGGTTTTTTCCAATCCAAAAGAACTTTGGGGCAGGGCCAATTCCAGGACCACTTGACTATAAGTGAAATGAAAGCTCAATTCCTTTTCCAGCTGGGATAGTGCCATTCTGCACTCACAATGGGACACATTCCAGAAATTTGGATTGAAAATGTAGGATTTTCATAATTTATAATATTTTTTAAAATGATGGTCCAGAAGTTGCATAATCCTCCTCTTTCCCCCCCTGAATCTGTGGTTTCCGTCTAAGCTGATGCAGCACTTGAGATAATCGGAGGAGATAATTCTCCCTCGGGCTGGACAACGAGAAACTGTCTGTCCTGGCAGCCTTGAAAAGGGGGTCTCTGTCTGCGAGCGTCCACAATTGCACAGCCTGGGGAACAAAGCAGCACTCCCCTATGGCAACGTCTCAGACAGGATTCTCTGCCAGTTGCTACTGTGACCCTCAGTGCAATGTCAACACCGCCCAAAATGCCCAGATGCGAGATTTCCCTACACCCACGACAGAGGGCCTTGACACATTCTAGAATGAGATGACCTGAGTTGATGCTTCTATAACAAGAAAGTCAAGAAAGGAGAACATGGTTTCTCAATAAATTACATATAAAGTTATCATGTGACCCAACAATTCCACTCCTCAGTGTAGACCCAAAACAATTAAAAACAGGTGTTTAAACAAAAACGTGTATACAAATGTTAATAGCAGCATTGTTCACAATAGCCAAAATGTGGAAACATCTCAAACTTCTACCAGTGGAAGAATGGATAAACCAAATGTGGTCTATCCATACACATTTGGATATTACTCAGCCATAAAAAGGAGGCACTGACATATGCTAGAACATGGATGAACCTTGAAAACATCATGCTAAGTGAAAGAAGCCAGACACAAAAGGACACATATTGTATGATTCCATTTATAAGAAATGTCCAAAATAGTAAATCCATAGAGACTGAAGGTATATTAGTAGTTGCCAGAGGCTGGGGAGGAGAGAAAGGGGGGTGACTGCTAATAATGGATATGGGGTCTCCCATAGCCATTTGGGATAATGAAAATGTTCTGGGATTAAATACTAGTCATGGATGTACAACATTGGGACTGTACTAAGTGCCACTCAACTATATACTTTAAAATGGTAAATTTTATGTTTATGCATATTTGACCGCAATAAAAAACCTTATTTTTTTTTCAAGGGATAAAAAAGGAAGAAAGAAAGGCATGGCTGGCCCTACGAACCACCACCACTCAGATCTGCCTGACCGTCCCTGTTCCAGTACAGAGCATGCTCCGCTTAGATCTTTACGAGGGGCTCCGGGTCCCCATCCCATGAAGGCCTGAGAATCTATTTAGTTCAATGAACTGAAGATGAAATGAAATGATGCTTGTGTTGTAGTTTCCTTTCTTGACAAGCCATCAGCCCCTTTGAGTGATGCTGGGTTTGCACATCTGGAACTGATCAAAAACCAGTGAGTTTGCAAAAAAAAAAAGAAAGAAAGAAAAAAAAATCCTAGGTCGGGAGCAAGCAGACACAGAGGCACCTCCCATACATAGTAAATTACACTGGTGACAGAGGAAAGAGCCAAAGAGGTCAGCCTTGAGGGTCCTGCCTTTAAAAGCCAGTTTTCAAATGCAACTGACTAAAGCCCAGATGGCCAATGCAGGGTCTTTGAGGGAGGGATGAAATGTAGGGGCTCTCAGAGGCCTCGTGCTCTTCTGCAAAGGCTCCAGGCCTTCCCCCCAGCCAGCCAGCCAGCTCTCCTCACCAGTTCGGAAGCAGGACTTGGGGAGCCAGTGTTGATCTGGGTCCCGGGGCAGGGCTCTCTGCACTGATACTGGTACCTGTTGGCAAAAGGAGCCCAAGCCACCATGTCAGCGCATCCCCTCTCTAGGCCCGCCCCTCACCCAGGTCAGGGACCTAGATCCCAGGTGGTATGGGAAGTCTTGACCAGCAGTGAGCTCTGCTGTGACAGTCATGTGGCTCATCATTGGATGAGCATCTTCTTCCAGACCCTAGGGCAGAGCCCAGCCAGGATGGCAGCTCTCCCTTACCCTGGCTGTGTCGTGCCGTGTACATGCCTTAATCACTCCAAGCCTCAATTTCCTCCTTGTAAAAAGGAGGACGGGCCAGTGCCCACCTCATAAAGAAGTCAGTGAGATCATCCATGTAAAACCCTGGTCACCGCTGGCCTCTAGTAAGTGCCGAGTAAATATCAGAGGCTGGTATTATAAACGTTATTATTACTGTTCCCATTCCTACATCTTAAGAGGCTCTGTAAAAGTCGAAATGACCCTCTTCATTTTCCTCCTATGGTACATGGTGGGGGACTTGGGACTTAGGCTTAACTCCGCTCACAGCTGTTTTACCTGGAGCTGCTCTCAGACAAAACAAAACCTTGTGTAAAGTAGAGGCCCACAGGCGGGGTTAGTGGTTGGGCTGAGAATTGTCTTAAAGGAGACAGGACCCAGCCGTTAAGAGAGTAGGGTGTACAGCCAGATATGCCTGGGGGTGACAGCATGACACCAGCTAGGGAACACTGGGCATGCACTTTTCTTTAAGCCTCAGTTTTCTCATCTGTGTAATAGGGATTAAGAGGCCCGCTGCCCAGGTGTGCTGCAGGGATAATGAGGCAGGTAAAGTGCATAGCACAGGGCCTCCTAACTGCCACCCCAGCAATACAGCCCCCATACCTTCTGCCCCTCTCTTGTGTAGAAACAGCCAGATGAGAGGCAGAAGCAGAAAATCAGGTGCACAAAACACACAGAGCCCTGGGAGGTCCTCTCTCAGTCTATTTGAGGAAGGGGGCCTGCCCCTCATTTTGTTCGACACAACTCTGGGCTCTCACTTGTCACACTCTAGACCCTAGATGCCCTGACCCAGATGGGAAAGGGAGGCTATCCTATTCTGCCAGAACAAGGGACCCCAGTGCTCAAGGTGGAAACTCACAAATCCACTCTTGGTTGCAAGGCAAGCTGGGCACTTGCACAGGTCCCCAGCTGCTTCTCTCCACCAGAGCGGCACCTCGCCTTTTGGCTAAAAGATGCCCAGTTCGAGTTAGACTTCAATGAGTGGGCATCAGCTAAGCCCTTTCTGGCTTGTCCAGCTTCCAACCCTTGGCAAGGGAGGCTCTGGGTCTTAACCGCATAAGGGCTGGCCCTGGTTCTCCCACCTAGGGCAGCCCATCTCCTCGAGACTGTGAAACCAAGCCCTCAGCTTCTAGAACAATTCTCCCCACACAAGTTTAGGCAGATGCCCACTCTGGCTGGAGATACCCAGGAATATATTCCCGACCCTGTAGGAGCTCTCACACGCAGCACACCTGTACGCATCCACAGCCATCTGGGGCTTTAGGGGCAGAGCTGGGTTTCAGCCCTGGCTCTGCTTGGACCACTCACTTCACTTCTCTAAACCCCGGTGTCTTCATCAGAAATATAGGAAGATGAAGGGCTACCCTGCCAGCTTGCTGTAAATGAAACATAAAGGGGTGTGGCCCTGTAAACTGTGGAGCAGAAGGCACTGCCGTTAGTATCACCCCTGCCATACACATGTGGGTAGACACACGCTCCTGCCACATCCACACTGTCAGCTTTCCATTTATTGACGCCCACTGCGTGCACAGGAGCCCAACAGATGCTAGCGAATTGCACAAAAAGGCAAGCGTACACAGCCTCCAAGAGCACAGTCCTGCAGTCAGACCAGCTTTGAGTCCCGGCTCCCTCCCTTCCTGGCGTTAGCAACTGACTTGCCCTCGCTGAGCCTCAGTTTCTCCATCTGTGAAACTGTACGCCGCTGAGCCTGGCTCAGGGATGCAGTCGGCGTTCAGCTTAGTGCTTGCACACAGTAAAGCCCTAAGAGCTGGCATCTGCTCTGGTTACTTCAGCTCCTCGGAGATTACGGGAGTGGATTTGCAGCTCAAGGAGAGTAAAGGAATCTAAATCACACTTACCTCCGCGGGGCTTTAAACACCAGCTCGTCGGCGTCTCCCGCGGCGGTGGCGAAGTCGTAGTGTGGGTACAGCAAGATGGTCGAGGGACACGGGACCCCTGAACCACGGAGGGAATCAGTGGATCCGGGGGCTCAACGCGCTGGCTCTTGTATGCTATCCCTGAGCGCGGGGGCCACGCCCCCCCGGCGGCCCGGGGTGCTGATAGGGCCGCGCAGCCAGCCCCCGTCTCACCCGCCCTCAGGCCCCGCCCCGGACCCGCCCCTTTACGGGGTAGGTGCCGGAGCCTGGGGTCTGGGGGGCGGTGCGAGGAGGGCCAGGACGCTCTGCGCCTCCTAAGAGCTTGGTTTGAGAAGAGGACGTGCTCAGTTTCCTCACAGTGACCATAAAAGTACCAGTTCCACTGAGCGCTTACTATACGCCCAGCGCGGGGCCAAGCGCTTTCCACCACGGGTTTGCAAACTTACTGAACCCTGTCTCTCTGCAGCTCAACAGGAAAATGGGAATACAGAGGCAACCTCCCAGGATTGTAGCAAATAAAATCGGGAAGGGTATGGACTCCATAAACTGTGGCGCAGAATACACAGCTGCTATTAATACATTTATTTCCATCCTTTACACACGGGTAGAAAATTTCACTCATCACACACACACACACACACACACACACACACAGACACACACAGACACACACACTTCCCGATGTACAGATGAAGAGACGAAGACTAGGTGATGATACTGGATTAGGGCAATAAAACAGTGGTCCAGCCTAAGTGCCTTTACTTTTATTGTCCCAAACATGTTCATAGGAGTCCAGTAAGGTAGAAATGATACCATTTCACAGATTGGGCAACTGAGCCCTAGAGAAGAGTGTCCCAAGTCCCACAGCTAGTGTGAGGCAGCACAGGTTCAAACCTTGGTCTCACGACATTTTGCCCGCAGCCATTTAGCCTCCTTAACCTGTGCAGGTAAACACATAAATCAATTCAGAGCCAGAAGAAATCGCTTTTGGCCCTTGTTGGCAGGCGAAGAAACTAAGCTGAAGCTAAAGAGACTCCCCGGGCTCCCCACTCAGCACATAGCTGGCCCCATTGTATGCCAGCACACCCAGGAGGAGCCTGTCCTCATGCTGCATGAAGACACTGGAATCAGCTATTCATCACTCCACTTCCACACACTCCCAGTGAGTCACTCTGCACCAGCCTCTGTGCTACATACAGCAGGGAGCAGGCACAGACAAGCTTCCTCTGGGATCTCAGGGCCTGGGGCGCCCAGATGGGTCAGAGTATGTGGGGGAACAAAGACGGAGAGTGCGTGGAGCAACCATGATGAAGGAAAGAAGACCCCTCCGTGACTGGCGGGGCATGTGTGACATGGATTCAGAAAGCTGGAGACTCTTGCCCAAGATTTTGGTGCAGCTCAGTTGCAGATCAAGAATAATGCAGACGTCCTTTGTTATCTTTTTTTCATTTCTGTTACTTTTCTTTCTTCTCTCAGTTTTTGAAACATCATTCTCAGCTCAACAGTCATTCATTCAATACTTCTTAAGCACCTACTGTGTGCCGGGCTTAGTTCCAAGCATTAGAGTATTCAGCGGTGAACCAACTTGTTCCAGAACAAGTCCCGCTTTGACAAAAGGCAAACCCAGAGGGAAAAAAGACCTGCATTATTAACAGATGCCTCTCAGGTACCCAGCCTCACACACACATCATCTTGTCTACCCCAGCGACACTGTGAGGCTGGTGCTGTGATCATCAGGAAACTGGGCACAGAGAGTGTAAGTAGCTTCCCCGGGCTACACAGCTCCCGACTGGAGGAGCTGGGATTTGAACTCATGCTCTTGCCCACTCAGCTGCCACCACCTGTGTACCATTAAACTTTGGGTACAGGGGAGTGGAATAATCTGACTTCTGGCTCTAGCAGAGGGGAAGGGAAGCTACACAGGATAGGATTTCACATGGGCCCAGCAATGTGGGTGGGTGTGGAGGTGGTTAATACGGAAATGTTCACAGCTCTGCTAACTCGGACCTCCACCTCCTTACTGATGCTTTTTATGGCAACTCTGTGGGCTCCTTGCTGGACCAGGATGGCTCTGAGGACACCCTTCCCAGCCCCAGGCATTCTCGGGGGACCACTGGCATAGCTTCAACCTGAGGGCACCTCATCAGTGGTGTTCCCCCGCCGGACTCCCAACTCCTGTCTGGCCTGGTAGCCACCGCCCTAGCACCCTGCACACCACAGAACCTTCCAAAGCCTCATCCCTCCTGTTTTTCCTTCCTTCCCCCTCTGTGGTCTTCTCCTCATCTGCCCTCCTGCTTCTTGTCTGCCCTGCTGAGCCTCCCTGGTCTGGCCTCTGACTGTGTCCACCCTTCCCTGCTGATTTCCAGCAAACACTTACATATGCCAGGCACTGTGCTCAGGGCTTCACCCACATCGCCCTGTGAACGTCTCCCAACGGAACGCGAGGAGGGGGCTATTGTTGGCCTTGTTTTATAGATGGGGAAACTGAGGCTCAGATAGGTGAAGGCATTTGCCCAGGGTCACTTGGCTATTGAGTGGTAGGGTTGGGACTCCAACTCAGGCAGTTCAGGACCAGAGCCCATGACCTTAGCCTCTAAACCAGGTGACCTAAAAGGGATTAGGGAGTTTGGGTTTGCTGCAGTGCGAACCCATTGGGCATTTCTGAGCTATTCCATTTCTCTTTAATAGCCCAGTTGGGCTAACATTTATCAAATGGGATGTGACGGTTACCACTGCTACATAATAAATTATCCCAAAACATAGTGGCTTCCAACAACCATTCTATTTTGCTCATAATTTTGTAGGTCAGGAATCTAGGACAGACCCAGTTGGATGGTTCTTCCTTGGGGGTCTCTCATGTGGTTGCCGTCAGATGTTGGCTGGGGCTGTAGACGCCCGAAGGCTCAACGGGGCTGTGGACATCCAAGCTGGTTCGCTCACGCGGTGGGAGCTCAGCTGGAGCTGTTGACTCAAGTGCCTCCATGTGGCCTTTCCAGGAAGGCAGTCAGTCCCAGCACAGCCAGGCTTTTTACTTCCCCCAGAGCAAGCCTGCCAAGAAAACCAGGTGGAAGGTGCATGACCTTTATGACCTGGCATTGGAAGCCATAGAGCATCCCTCTGCCATCCTTTTGGTCAAATCAGAGTCTGCCTAAGGTCAAGGAGAGAGAACAGAAAGGCACACTTCTCAACATGTGGAAATTTTGCAGACAAGATATAGGAAAACATAAAAGCTCAGTGCCTGGCACCAAGCACTCAAGAAGACAATCCGTCCTTCATAGGGGCCTAAGTTAGTCCAGTGAAATGAGCGCCATCTTTGCACCTGAGACAGATGAGATTGAATCCTGACTCCACCAGGCACCAGCTGTGTGTCTTTGTTCAAGTGACTTGGCCTCTCTGAGTTGTAACTGCCTCCCAAGCTGGATCACCCTAGGGGCAGACTGAGTCCATCGCTTGCTGTTTGGTGCCATTGTCTGGAACCATTTGGGCTGGGTTCCAATCCTGGTTCCTCCACTTCCAAGCTGTTGGCCTTGTGTTCAGCTCCCCATCTGTAAAATGGGGGTGATGATAATGGCATCTTTCTCCCTCAGGGCTGTCGTTAGAATATTAAATGGTTAATAGACGGAAAATCGTTAGAACAGGGTCTGGCACATAACAAGTATTCGTTAATATTGTTAATAGAGCCAATAAAGCAAAAAAAAGAGACAGAGAAGTTTAATTTTCATCAAGTTTTCCATCATTGTGTAATCTTAGATTTCCAAAAACTTTCCAAAACTTAACTTTTGACTTTGAATAACATGGTGTGTTATGGGCAATGTGTGCTCCTGGGAGGTCCTGGATGGGAAAGGACCACGATGCTCCCAAGAGTCTTCCTGGGATGGGACTGGCCACTGATATCCTTGGAAGTCCCAGCAAAAGATCCCGTTTGCTATCCAGGAAGGAGTTAAGTCATGGAGAGTTTGAGACAAAGGAAAAGGTCCTCCTGAAGAACTGCAATGAAGCCCAACCTAGAAACAGGAACGCGCAGGCCTGGTCATGGCATCCTGGAGAGGTTCCACCCCTCTGCCCACTCGCTGTCTCTGCACCAAGGTGGGCTGATGGAAGGACCACACGTGAGTGGGTCGTACTTTCTTTCCTATCTCGACAATGTTGTCATAGGACCGATGGGCCTTGAACGCACACCAACATCATGCTCACCAGTTGTTTTCATTGGAGTCGCTTGAGCTGGAGAGCGAGAGCCAAGGCCAGGGACAGGGAGCTCCAGCTTCTCGTGTGCTCCTGCCACACCCACTCAGCAGCTGTAGAATGTCACAGAGCCTCAATTCGCATCGAAGACCACTAACAGTTTGAGTCAAAGAGACATGGGGGCACCATTTTGTGATGGGTTTGGCTTAGAAAGAGGAACCCAAAGGACAGGGAAGACGGTGACATCTCCGCATTAACATGAGCCAATGTGTGGTCTTCCAGGATCTCAACGGATTGGTTTGACTTGTAGAAGAGGAAGGGTACAAGGGTGAGTGCCACATCTTCTATTGGCAGGCAACTCTTTGGAAGCAGTGCAGGCTCTGCTGGAGGGAAGATCTGGGCAAGATCTTGAAGGACTTGAGTAGTCAAGTCATGAGTAACAGAAACACACTCAAGTTCGTGCGAGCAGAGAAAGGGGGTTCTTGGTAGGATGCTGGGTTATTATGGAGCCCAAGCACAGTCGACACTCTCAAAAAACTAGAACTAGGGCCAGCCGAGTGGCTCAGTTGGTTAACAGTTGGCTTGGGAGCGGGAGCTCTGAGCAGCAGGGCCGCTGGTTTGGTTCCCACATGGGCCAGTGGTGCTGCGCTCTCTACAGCTAAGATGGTGAACAACAGCTTGACCTAGAGCTGGGCTGCTGTGAGTGGCCAGCGACAGGGTAGGCTGCAGTGGGCTGCCGTGAGCTACTGTGAGTGGCCGGCAGCCAGCATGAACGGCCGGCAGCCAGCAAGAGCTGCCGGGAGCTGCCGTGAGCAGCTGTCCAATGGCCGGTGACCAATCTGCCTCACCTGGGAAGAGCACAATGATCACAATACCAACATGGGCCAGTGAAGCGATGCCCTCCACAACTAGACTCAAGAACAAAAGGACAGCAACTT